AAGTTTGAACAGCTACCAATTCAAACTTTGAATAGCTCGCAAGCTGGGTTGAGCGAGGTCGCGATTTAAATTTTTAGTTTGAACAGCTACGAAGTTGGCTAAAACTTGCTCTCTAATTCCAACTTTGAACTACTCGTAAGCTGGATTGGGCGAGGTCGCGATTTAAATTTTTTATTTCAATAGCTACGAATCAAGTTAAAACTTGCTCGCTGATTTCAACTTTGAACAGCTCGCAAGCTGGGTGGGGCGTGGTCGTGCTTTTAAAATTTTTTAGTTTGAATAGCTTTGAGCTGTCTCAAAAACTTGCTCGCTGATTTCAACAAACAACTCGCAAGCTGGGTTGGTCGAGAGCGTGATTTTCAAAATTTTTAGATTGAATAGCTTTGAGTTGGCTCAAAAACTTGATCGTTGATTTCAACTTTGAACAGCTCGCAAGCTGGGTTGCGCGAGGTCGTGATTTAAAATTTTTAATTGAAACAGCTTTGAGCTGGCTGAAAAGCTTGCTCGCTGATCCAATTTTGAATAGCTCGTAAGATGGGTTGGCGGAGGATACAGTACGAGGATATAAAACAAACAAAAAGGAAAATCACAAAATGAAGCAACATGCTAAAACTAAGGAAAATGGAGATACAAGCATAATCAAAGAGTCAAACCGACTTAACGGAGGTCATCTCGACCTAACAAACATGGAAAAACGGCGCTTGAAGCATGTCGAGAGAAAGGAAATATTGCAAACTAAATACAAAATGAACATTACGATCTAAACCAATGGCGAAGTCATAAGCCGTAATAAATGATGATGACAAAAACATTCACGATATAAAAAGAATTTTGGATTCATCACAAAAATATGATCGGCAGGACCAATGAAAACAAGAGATAAAATGTTAAGTACATGTCGACACGACCTCACCAAAAACATCAAAACAACATTTAAATTCGAGTTAGGATAAAAAATTCTGGTCCTACGACCTTATATAACAAAAATCAGATAGAGATACCATTAATTTTCAGCCTCATTTTCGCCTTCACCAATGAGAAGACGGTAAACTCCTACATGCTCGACCGGACCATCCAAAGGAACATGAGGGAGATCGAGCTTATCAAACAAACTGACACGCTGGATAGCCCGAGCCTCGAGGCTGACCCACCAAGGGTTCTCGGGAGGCAGATTAGGATCACTTTGATAACTATCGGAAAGTGAGAGACCAGTCTCTAAATCCATGCCAACCTGAACCGCCGCTAAATCCATGCGTCGAACACAATATTGAAGTATTGGAGAGCCGCGGGGATAATTTTCTCCAGAAAGGCAAGAAAGTTGACAAACTGCCCGACAACCTCTTGGCGATAGGTCTCGAAGAACACAAAGCCGATAGGAGAATTAAGGAACGACTTGTGCCCCTCATGACGTTCAGCCTCCCTATCAACCAAGTGCTCGACTTCCTTCTCCCCGTGAGCCTTCTCTAGGTCGACCTTCATCAACTTCAACTCTTGAAGGGCCACGGACTTCTCAGCATGTAGCTTGGTGATCACGGCTTAGGCAGCCTCAAGCTCCTCCGTCTTCTCCTCGAGCTGCTTCGCATGTTCCTGATACTTTTCCCTTAAGGCTCTTCTCCACCATTGAAGGGAGGATAGCCGCAAGAAAATACAAATAAAACAAGAGCATTTTTATAACCACGACCTCGATAAAGAGGAACAAGAAAAGGGATAGGACAATCACCCGAGTCAGGGCCCGAGCAGCATAGCAGGATCAGTCGTAAGGATTGTTCTCGAGACGAGTTCTATCAGCCTCAGGAATAGCAGAGATGAGATAGCTCGTGATCACGTGGTCGTCTTTGTTGTTATGGAGTCGGGAAGGCTGCTCCAAGGTGACTAACCGGACATGGATAGGGAAAGGAAAAACAGACTCGGTCACGGCCTCTTTACCCTTTTAGCATTTCACCTCGTCGGGCAACAACTCGAAAACCCTTTGATCGGGAGCTAACTTCCCCGAGTGGGAGCTAGAGTGGGTAGACTTATTGGAGGGAGAACTCCCAGCTACCGAGGCAAGACTTATGGTCTTCTCGACCACGACCTCCTTATGGCCCGAGCCAGAGCTGCCCAACTGTTTCTTAGGTAGAGATGGACGACCCAAGGACCCGCCCACGGTGGGTTTCTTCTGCTTCTTTACCTCGAAGCGTTGAAGATTGGAATCTGTGCGAGAAGAAAGCAATGGGAGGAGGATAAACGAATATGAAGTTGAAGTACGGGGAATGACAATCTATTGCGGTCGTGTTCAATGGAAGCATTGCTTTCCCGGGTTATACCACATTGATATCGCAATGTGGGATCCTTAACCATTTGGCGAGCGCTCTAAGTGTGTTTATTTAATTCTTTCACCATTTTCGCAAATTGAGTAGTTCGCGGCTTACTACGTTGGTTAACTTTCTCAGTTAACCATGTGTTGGTAAAGGAATAATATCCAGAGGGAGGTCGAACAAAGA